AAATTCAGTAATTAAAAATGATTTGCATCTTTTCCCCAACAGTGAGGTAAACCTTGCCTCAAAAGATTTGGTGGCAATAAAAATTATAGAACTAAATATTTCACTTATTGAAAACAATAGAAAATGCTTTTAACTTTGTAGAGCTACACAATCAGCTGCAAATGTAATACCACAACAGGTGAAAAATGTGTGCTTGGGGCCCTTTACACATAACTCCACATGAATGGATATAGACATATTTACACCTGACGGAGTAGGACTTTTCAATTAAAGATTTAAAATATAGGAAAACAAACAGTTGAAACATAACCTAGCCAACTGTTGAAAATGCTACAACAGAAAAAAAAATGGCTTCAAACACTTAGAGCTAAAAAACTAATGAGAAGCTTTCTTTGGTAAACAGCAAAAGAGATTAAGTCAAAATTTATTAGAAGGTATTTATGTACCAAAAACGTGCACTGAATTTGTGTAAGCTACAAGTAAAAGCACCATGAAAAATGTAAACAGGTTGCTACAGACAACTGATCAACAGTAAAAAAAATGCTATGGCTAGGGATCAGGCAAGGAAAGGAAAAAAGATAAGACAAGAAGAGTTTAGAGGAGAGTAAAGATGGCAGGAAAGATGACCGTCAAAATGACAGACAGTAGGACAGGTAAGTGAGAAGACAAGATGACAGGCAAGAGGGAGGTAAAATGTCAGGAAAGAGAGGAAAAGAGGGTAGGAAAGAGGAAAGTTGGTGTTAGGCAGGTAAGGGCTGATTAGGTTTTTTAGATAGTAGGATATGCATGTCTAGTAGTACCAAAACATTGTGCCTGAGAGGCGCTGGTGCCCCTAGTCTGGGTTTCAGATTTTATATGAGTTCTGGAACTACCAACACAAAGTTAAAGAAAAAAAAGACAATGTCTTGGCCAGTAAAGTACTTAGTTTTAAAATAGGATAGGCTTCAAAAATCAGTTAAATTTAGCACTCAACAGCAGTGTTCATAACTTAAAATAATTTTCTGAAGTAAAATTCTGGCTGAATATAAAAATTATTTAACTTTGTAGCCTCCCCTAGACCCACCCCACTAAAATGTCCATTTTAACCATCTAATTATAGATGATTGCTATTTTTAACTACCTATAATAAATTTAAAATAGAACTTTTGGCAGTCCAAAATAAAAAGAATTAAATAAAATAAAACAATGAAAATCTATATATAAAAAAGATTTTGCAAAAGAGACTACTGATCAAAGATTTTAAAATGCTATGGTAAGATATCAGGCAAGATAAAAGTAAAGACATGCAAGAGGGGAGGTAAAAAAAAGGAAGGTAAGATGATAGACAAGTTTGCAAGCAAGAGGGCATTTCAAGTTTGCAAACAAGATGAAAGGCTAGAAGACAGACAGAGGGTAGGAAAGAGGAAAGTTGGTGTTAGGCAGGTAAGGGCAGGTTAAGATTTTTATATAGAAGGCTATACAACTCTTGTTGTAACAAAAATTTTGTGCCAGAGAGGCCCTGGTGCCCCTAGCCTGGGTCCCAGATTTTAGGGAAGATCAGGATCTACCAACAGATCATTAACAATTGGAGAAAAGGTAGACCATGTTTTGGCTAGCAATATATAATTTAATTTTGTGTAAAATATTATCACAACAATACAGTTTAAATAAGAAATTCTACAGTTGTGTGCATAACTTAAAACTAATTTTAAGTAGTAAAATTTTGGCTGAATATAATATTTTACTTTGTAACCTCCCCTAGACCCTACTAAAATGTCCATTTTAACCATGCAATTTTAGATGATTGCTATTTTTAACTACCTATAATACATTTAATTTTCCTTTTTCTGAGCTAATTCTACTCGACCCCTACTTTGGTTTTTTTAGGATTTGCTTCCATAGCCTTTACCCAACCAAGGGCGACCTACAAGGCAGCAGGTGTTTAATTTCGGAGTTGTCTCTCCTAGACGGGTTGCCGACCAAGGCTGACGAGTCCACATCTACCCGGTATTGGAATTGTTTTATTAGCAAATTAGAATCTTTTGCTAAAGACAACAAATTCCAGCAAAAAAGATAGAATTACCTAACAAGGATTACAAAACAGCTGAAATAGAAATTAAAAAAAAGAAATAACAGATTCTGATGCAGAGAGGTGTATTATCTTTGATGAAAGTATTTAAATTAATTTTCTTTCCCACCAAAACACTGCACACTCAGTTTTAGGAGCTGCTTGCTACAACAAAAATTGTTGTGAAATTCATATCATTTATTAAAAACAACCCACTAATATATTGGCGCTGAAACAATAGCTGCTATAGCAGAGTTAATGAGGTAATTAAAGAATTTGTGGAAGGAAGATAAGGATTGTAGGTGGACAGAGGAGTGCAGAGGAGGCCAGGCATGTGCACAGGCTAGACATCAGGAAAAATATGTCCATGGTAATCACAGTGTTACATTTTGTCTTGGATTTAGTTATGAACATTACTATGATAGATTTGGATGAATATAGATTTTTTAAATCATCATCAAAGATGTTTGGCCAGTAATATAGTTACTGAGAATACAATGCAACATTCAGTAATTTAACATTCATACAGCAGTTTGCATAACTTACAAATAATTTTAAGTAGTAGCATTTTGGCTGAATATAATATTTAACTTTGTTACCTCCCTAGACCCACCCCACTAAAATGTCCAATTTAAACAGATAATTATAGTTGATTGCTATTTTTAACTACCTATAATAAATTTAATTTTCATTTTTCTGAGCTAATTCTACTTGACCCTACATTGTTTAATTTAGGATTTGCTTCCATAGCCTTTACCCAACCAAGGGCGACCTACAAGGCAGCAGGTGTTTGAATTCGGAGTTTTCTCTCCTAGACGGGCAGCCAGCCAAGGCTAACGAGTCCACATCTACCCGGATTTGGAATTATTATACTACCAAATTAGAAACTTTTGCTAGAGACAACAAATTCCAGCAAAAAGATAGAATTACCTAACAAGGATTTAAAACAACTGAAAAAGATAAAACAGCTGAAAAAGTAATACAAAAAGATATAAGTACAAAAAAACAGATTCTGATGCAAAGAGGTCTCATCTTTGGTGAAGGAATTTAAATTAATTTTCCACCAAAACACTGCATAATCAGTCAGTTTTAAGAGCTGCTTGCTACAACATAATAAAGTTTAGACAAAATGTAAATAAAAAAAAATAACAGGTTGCAACAGACGACTGATCAAATATTTTAAAATGCTATGGCTAGAAATCATGCAAAGATAAATGTAAAGAATACAAGCAAGAGGGCAGGTAAAAGGGCAGGTAAGAAGTCAGACAAGTTTGCAAGCAAGAGGGCATTTCAAGTTTGCAAACAAGATGAAAGGCTAGAGAACAGACAGAGGGTAGGAAAGAGGAAAGTTGGTGTTGGGCAGGTTAAGATTTTTATATAGAAGGCTATACAACACTTGTTGTAACAAAACATTGTGCCAGAGAGGCCCTGGTGCCCCTAGTCTGTGTCCCAGATTTTAGGAAAGATCTGGAACTACCAACACAATGTAAAAGTAGACCATTTAAATTTTCTGCTACACTTAAAAAAAGTGCATTTAAAATAAAGTTTGAAAACATTAGCTTACTATAATGGTACTCAAACAATAGCTACTACAGCAGAGGTCATGAGGTAATTGGGAACATGTGTGTTGGAGTTGATTGATTTAAACAGTTCATTACTTTAAGGTACCAAGAAAGCATCTCTAAGGAAATTCTATAATATAAAATCTAATCTAACACAAGTTCTAAGGAATTCACACCAATCTTCCTTATTTACACCCTATTCGTATACGTTGGACACGTATACATAGACTACAATAGGAATATGGAGGAGGCTAATAGGTTTAAGAGATGCACATAAACTGTTCGGCTTTATGACTAAGAATTGGGACAAATCCCAGGTGAGATGAATTATTAATAAGCCTGCATTTCTAAATGTGTACAGCTAGAATTGCATTACTTAATTGAAAGTTACATTAAACTAAAGAATCAGCTGCAGATGGAACACCACACTAGGTGAAAATTATTTTAGTACACCTTTACACATAGACAACTCCCTCACTCAAATAATGAATGGATTACCCACACCTGATTAAGTAGTCCAATTTACTTACATTTAAGATTATGATATGATAATTAAAAACAAAATCCAGTCAATTGTGTAAACTAATTCACACATCAGAAATCTATCAGAGTAACAATCTACACGGTGGGCCCACTCATGCATTATTTTGATTAGACAGTTACTATCCAGATTTCATTAACTGAAATGGTTTCGAGCAATAATTAGTCAACCAAAATTCAGTACTTAAAAATGTTTTGCATCTCTCCCCCAACAATGAGGTAAACCTTGCCTCAAAAGCATTGGTGGAAATACAAAATATAAAACTAAACATTTCACTTATTAAAAACAATAGAAAATGGTTTTAAATTTGTAGAGCTACACAATCAGCTGCACAAACCACAACAGGTGCAAGGTGTGTGCTTATGCCCGCACAAACACACAACTCCACTCAAATAATGAATGGATATAAACATATTTACAACACCTGATTGAGTAGGACTAGTCAAATTTATGATTATAATTATATATATTATATCATATATAAGAAAGTGGAAATAAAACCTATCCAACTGTTCTAAATATGCTACAACAAAAAAAATGGCTTCAAACACTTAGGCTAAAAAACAAATGAGAAGCTTTCTTTGGTAAATAGCAAAAGAGAAGTCAATTTATTAGAAGGTATTATTGATGTATGAAAAACGTGCACTGAATTTGAGAAAGCTACAAGTAAGAGCACCATGAAAAACAAAAACAAGTAAATCAAACAGGTTGCTACAGATTACTGATCAACAGTAAAAATAAAATGCTATGGCAAGAGATCAGGCAAGGAAAGGAAAAAAGATAGTCAAGAAGAGTTTAGAAGAAAGTAAAGATGGCAGGACATGAGGGGACAGTAAAGATGACAGTCAAAATGACAGACAGCAGGGCAGGCAAGAGGATAGACAAGAGGACTGGCCAGAGGGAGGTAAAATGGCAGGTAAGAAAAGAGAGAGGGTAGGAAAGAGGAATGTTGGTGTTAGGCAGGTAAGGGCTGATAAGGTTTTTTAGATACAAGGCTATACAACTCTTGTTGTAACAAAACATTGTGCCTGAGAGGCGCTGGTGCCCCTAGTCTGGGTCCCAGGTTTTAAGTGAGTTCTGGAACTACCAACACAAAGTTAAAGAAAAAAAAGACAATGTCTTGGCCAGTAAAGTACTTGGTTTTAAAATAGGATAGGCTTCAAAAATCAGTTAAATTTAGCACTCAACAGCAGTGTTCATAACTTAAAATAATTTTCTCAAGTAAAATTCTGGCTGAATATAAAAATTATTTAACTTTGTAACCTCCCCTAGACCCACCCCACTAAAATGTCCATTTTACCCATGTAATTATAGATGATTGCTATTTTTAACTACCTTTTTTCCTTTTTCTGAGCTAATTCTACTCGACCCCTACTTTGGTTTTTTTAGGATTTGCTTCCATAGCCTTTACCCAACCAAGGGCGACCTACAAGGCAGCAGGTGTTTCATTTTGGAGTTCTCTCCTAGACGGGCTGCCAAACCAAGGCTAACGAGTCCACATCTACCCGGAATTGGAATTGTTTTAGTAAATTAGAATCTTTTGCTAGAGACAACAAATTCCAGCAAAAAAGAATTACCTAACAAGGATTACAAAACTGAAAAAGATAAAACAGCTGAAAAAGTAAGACAAAAAGATATAAGTACAAAGAATAGATTCTGATGCAAAGAGGTTTCATCTTAGGTGAAAGTATTTAAATTAATTTTCCACCAAAACACTGCATAATTAGTCAGTTTTAGGAGCTGCTTGCTACAACATAATAAAGTTTAGAAATATGTAAATTAAAAATAACAGGTTGCAACAGAGACGCCTGTTAAGATTTTAAAATGCTATGGTAAGATATCAGGCAAGATAAAAGTAAAGAAGACATGCAAGAGGACAGGTAAAAAAGGAAGGTAAGAGGGCATTCAAGTTTGCAAACAAGATGAAAGGCTAGAGGACAGACAGAGGGTAGGAAAGAGGAAAGTTGGTGTTAGGCAGGTAAGGGCAGGTTAAGATTTTTATATAGAAGGCTATACAACTCTTGTTGTAACAAAACATTGTGTCAGAGAGGCTCTGGTGCCCCTAGTCTGGGTCCCAGATTTTAGGGAAGATCTGGGACTACCAACACAATGTTAAAGACCATTTAAATTTTCTGCTACACTAAAAAAGTGCATTTAAAATAAAGTTGGGAAACATTAGCTAACCATAATGGCACTCAAACAATAGCCACTATGGCAGAGGTCATGAGGTAATTGGGAACATGTGTGTTGGAGTTGATTGATTTAAACGGTTCATTACTTTAAGGTACCAAGAAAGCATTTCTATGGCAGAACTACAAAATAAAATGTAAGCTAACTGAAGTCCTAAAGAATTCACACCAATCTTCCTTATTTACACCCTATTAGTATAAGTTGGACACATATACATAGCTACACTACAATAGAAATAAGGCAGAGGCCAATAAGTTTAAGAGATGCACATTTTATGACTAAATTAGAATTGGGACAAAATAATTTCATTAATAACAAAATCCAGCCAATTGTGTAGATAAAATCACACAACAGAATTCTTAGAGTAACATTATTCTACACTGTAGGCCTACAGATGCATCAATTAGATTAGACAGTTACTATCCAGATTTCTTAACTGAAACTGTTTTTATGAACAATAATTAGTCAATTGAAATTCAGTAATTAAAAATGATTTGCATCTTTTCCCCAACAGTGAGGTAAACCTTGCCTCAAAAGATTTGGTGGCAATACAAAATATACAACTAAATATTTCACTTATTTAAAAACATCATAGAAAATGCTTTTAACTTTGTAGAGCTACACAATCAGCTGCAAATGTAATACCACAACAGGTGAAAAGTGTTGTGTGCTTGGGGCCCTTTACACATAACTCCACATGAATGAATATAGACATATTTACACCTGATTGAGTAGGACTTTTCAATTAAAGATTATAAATATAGGAAAACAAACAGTTGAAACATAACCTAGCCAACTGTTCTAAATATGCTTCAACAGAAAAAAATGGTTTCAAACACTTAGAGCTAAAAATAAATGAGAAGCTTTCATTGGTAACCAGCAAAAGAGAATAAGTCAAAATTTAATGGAAGGTATTATTTATGTACCAAAAATGTGCACTGAATTTTTGTAAGCTACAAGTTAGAGCACCATGAAAATGTAAACAGGTTGCTACAGACAACTGATCAACAGTAAAAAAAATGCTGTGGCAAGAGTAAAGGGGACAGTAAAGATGACAGTCAAAATGACAGACAGCAGGGCAGGCAATAGGATAGACAAGAGGACAGGATAGAGGGAGGTAAAATGGCAGGTAAGAGAGAGGACAAGAGGGTAGGAAAGAGGAAAGTTGGTGTTAGGCAGGTAAGGGCTGATTAGGTTTTTCATATAGTAGGATATGCATGTCTAGTAGTACCAAAACATTGTGCCTGAGAGGCGCTGGTGCCCCTAGTCTGGGTCCCAGGTTTTAAGTGAGTTCTGGAACTACCAACACAAAGTTAAAGAAAAAAAAGACAATGTCTTGGCCAGTAAAGTACTTGGTTTTAAAATAGGATAGGCTTCAAAAATCAGTTTAATTTAGCACTCAACAGCAGTGTTCATAACTTAAAATAATTTTCTGAAGTAAAATTCTGGCTGAATATAAAAATTATTTAACTTTGTAACCTCCCCTAGACCCACCCCACTAAAATGTCCATTTTAACCATGCAATTTTAGATGATTGCTATTTTTAACTACCTATAATTAATTTATTTTCCTTTTTCTGAGCTAATTCTACTCGACCCCTACTTTGTTTTTTTTAGGATTTGCTTCCATAGCCTTTACCCAACCAAGGGCGACCTACAAGGCAGCAGGTGTTTAATTTCGGAGTTTTCTCTCCTAGACGGGTTGCCGACCAAGGCTGACGAGTCCACATCTACCCGGTATAGGAATTGTTTTATTAGCAAATTAGAATCTTTTGCTAGAGACAACAAATTCCAGTGAAAAAGATAGAATTACCTAACACGGATTACAAAACAGCTGAAAAAGGATTACAAAAGTGAACAATATATTTACATGGAAATCTGATAAATCTTTAATTAGCCTTTTTCAAGCTGTTCTATAAAAGGTTATGCTTTATATCAGGTCTAAGAACAATTATTTATGCATTAGGTACATTCTTGCAGTACTCCCCCTACACCACTAAATGTTAACCAGATTCTTGGTTTAGAATGGGAATGTGGAAAACATTTGCAGTGCATATGTAATGTAAATAAATTCTAATAAGAAATTTCAGCATCAAATACTAAAACTGAAAAATCAATGTTTAATTAAATTATTAAAACATTTCATAATTATAATTTGCAAAAGTTTCTCTAAATTACTGGCAACATAAATTACTTTTAAAACTTTCACATAATCTAATAACCCATTAAAATAGTTTTAAATGCAATACTATACATTTATCAAGGATTGTAAAAGATAATTAAAACAGCATTTGCAAAACAATTCTCAAAATAATGTGCTATACTACAGGAGCATCAAAGATTAAAATGTTTTATCACTACTGAAACATTAGAGTTGATCCTCTGATGTGGTTTTTTTAAGAGATGGAGTGGGTAGACTAGTGTATTAAAGTTATTCAACTGATGGCAGTGATCTTCTAGTATTAGACAGGTAACATTATACTTAGGATAACTTGGATCATTGAGGGATAGAGAATTAGAAGGAATTTATTAAGGCTTGACTTGGATTATCTTGGGTTGATGTTGACTACTCTGGCAAAGGTCTGGAATAAAATTATTCTTGTAGTTCCACTGATCAGAGGTTAGTGTCAGGTTAGTAGCGCGGTTTGGGTTAGTAGTGTGTTAGTAGTGTTAGTGTGGTTAGTAGCCCCTACTGTTGCTAGTAGTGAGGTTAGTGGTCTGGTCAGTGGCCAGCTAGAGGACAGGCAAGACGACAGGCAAGTGGACAGGCAAGAGGACAGGCAAGTGGACAGGCAAGAGGACAGGCAAGTGGACAGGCAAGAGGACAGGCAAGAGGACAAGCAAGTGGACAGTACATTTATTATCACCTAATTTCCATTTTGGAATGAAAAAAAAAAACCTATCTAACAGTCTAATACTAGAAGATGCTACATCAATTGGCTTTGAAAAAGATTTAAGTATTAACAGACTTCTGTTTTAATTAGTGAAAGGTATTTAGAGAGAGGCAGGTAATTTTTGACGAGATTTTTGAAAACAAAAAACAACCTATTATATAATAACTGAGTAGAATCAAGAGTGGCAGGGTCAAAGGTGTATAAAATGTAGATCTGATTTAGCACTTTACTTTAAGCAGTTTTTTAAATCAAAATAAGGTCTGTTTAATTATATAAATGGTGAAAACATTTCAAAATAGAAAATGTTTTGCTCAAATTATTTGCTATGAAATGCTTAATTTTTAAATAATTCATAAAAATATGTTTAAATGCAATACTGTAAATCTATAATGGATAGCAAATAAATATTGAATTGGCCTTTTCAAAACTGTTCCCAAAAAGAGAATGAGATACAAGAATGTTAAGAATTCATGCTATAGGGACTTTCATGTCCCACTCCCCATCTCCACTATCTAAATAAACCCAGGATCTTGACAAGAAAGGGATATGTAGCTAATTAAATTTATTCACAGTAGACAACACAAGCCCAAGAAAAAACAAGAAACTGTTTAGACAAATGTATTCATAATATATTAAAGGGATGGGAAGGATCATCTAGTATTAGTGAGTTAAGATTAGGTTGACTTGGATCATTGACAGCTAGAAAATTTAGGGAATTTAACAAGGCTTGACAAGGGATTTATTGATAACGTACTTCAGTAAAGTTCTGGAAAATATTTCCTGTAGTCCCACTGATCAGAGGTTAGTGTCAGGTTAGTAGCGCGGTTTGGGTTAGTAGTGTGTTAGTGTTAGTGTGGTTAGTAGCCCCAACTGTTGTTAGTAGTGATGTTAGTGGTCTGGTCAGTGGCCAGCTAGAGGATGGGCAAGAGGACAGGCAAGAGGATAGGCAAGAGGACAGGCAAGAGGATAGGCAAGAGGACAGGCGAGAGGACAGGCGAGAGGACAGGCGAGAGGACAGGCGAGAGGACAGGCGAGAGGACAGGCGAGAGGACAGGCGAGAGGACAGGCGAGAGGACAGGCGAGAGGACAGGCGAGAGGACAGGCAAGTGGACAGGCAAGTGGACGGGCAAGTGGACGGGCGAGAGGACAGGCGAGAGGACAGGCGAGAGGACAGGCGAGAGGACAGTAGCTTTTTAATCCCACATGAAAATTGACTACTTAAATATTTATACATTTAAGAAACAAACTAATACTAGATGATGTTTTAGCAGTCAGTTTTGGATAGGTTTAAGTATAAACATTGTGATTTATTATATCAGTTAGAGGGATGTCATAAGCCATAAAGGGAGGTAATTTGTCATGAAGTCTTTGAAAACATTTGTTATGTAGTAACAGGGTATAATCAAATATGACATCAGATAAATATATGCAGTAAATATTTTTAGCTAGTCTACCCTTGTAACTACTTGATATTGTCACATTAATATTCCCAGGCTGTGAAAGCAAGGATCGTGCTAATGTTTTTTAATGTTAAAGAAGGTATAGGACCAGTTCTTGAAATTTAAATTATGAATGTAAAAATGTTTCAATGGTAGAACCTCTTGATTAACAGTTATTCATACTGTGGATAACATAACCCAAGAAAAAACAAAACTTTAAGCACTTTAATCAGAATACATTAAATAAGAATAATTTATCCTCTGGCAATATATTGAGGATATAACATTCAGTCTTTGATTCAGTAATTGTTATCTTATCATCATGATATATTTTGATTGTATATTGTTTTCATCATTATCAAAGACATTTGGCCAGCTACATATTTAGTGTTAAAGTCTGCTGCACAAAATTTTTATGTAGAGTTAGATCCTGCTGGCCCATCTAGTGGGCGTCTCTAAATTTTTGTCTATTATCAATATCAGGAAACCTGTATCCAGCATAACAAGACAGGCCCTCACCTGAAATCTACAGGGCAGGAGGAGAGGCAGACTAAGAAAGACCTGGAGACGTGACATGGAAGAAGACACCAAGAAGATTGGATACACCTGGCAACAGTTGGAGAGACTAGCCCAGGACAGATGCCTTGAAAGCTCTTGTCAGCGACCTATGTCCCATAAGACAGGCAAACCTACCTAATTATCAATGAGAACCAAGGCATCTCAGAAATATTGTAAATAAAACTGCTTTAAATAAATCAGATTTTAAAGGAGGGACTTAAATTTACAAATTTGTACTTAAAGAGAATTGAGTGACTACCTTACTGTTTCATTAAGAATTGTTAACACAAATTAAAAAAAAAAGTAATGCAGAAAACAAAGGCTAAAATCACAAAATGGGAGCTGGTGTTTAGTGCTGGGAGCTGGTGTTTAGTGCTGGGAGCTGGTGTTTAGTGCTGGGAGCTGGTGTTTAGTGCTGGGAGCTGGTGTTTAGTGCTGGGAGCTGGTGTTTAGTGCTGGGAGCTGGTGTTTAGTGCTGGGAGCTGGTGTTTAGTGCTGGGAGCTGGTGTTTAGTGCTGGGAGCTGGTGTTTAGTGCTGGGAGCTGGTGTTTAGTGCTGGGAGCTGGTGTTTAGTGCTGGGAGCTGGTGTTTAGTGCTGGGAGCTGGTGTTTAGTGCTGGGAGCTGGTGTTTAGTGCTGGGAGCTGGTGTTTAGTGCTGGGAGCTGGTGTTTAGTGCTGGGAGCTGGTGTTTAGTGCTGGGAGCTGGTGTTTAGTGCTGGGAGCTGGTGTTTAGTGCTGGGAGCTGGTGTTTAGTGCTGGGAGCTGGTGTTTAGTGCTGGGAGCTGGTGTTTAGTGCTGGGAGCTGGTGTTTAGTGCTGGGAGCTGGTGTTTAGTGCTGGGAGCTGGTGTTTAGTGCTGGGAGCTGGTGTTTAGTGCTGGGAGCTGGTGTTTAGTGCTGGGAGCTGGTGTTTAGTGCTGGGAGCTGGTGTTTAGTGCTGGGAGCTGGTGTTTAGTGCTGGGAGCTGGTGTTTAGTGCTGGGAGCTGGTGTTTAGTGCTGGGAGCTGGTGTTTAGTGCTGGGAGCTGGTGTTTAGTGCTGGGAGCTGGTGTTTAGTGCTGGGAGCTGGTGTTTAGTGCTGGGAGCTGGTGTTTAGTGCTGGGAGCTGGTGTTTAGTGCTGGGAGCTGGTGTTTAGTGCTGGGAGCTGGTGTTTAGTGCTGGGAGCTGGTGTTTAGTGCTGGGAGCTGGTGTTTAGTGCTGGGAGCTGGTGTTTAGTGCTGGGAGCTGGTGTTTAGTGCTGGGAGCTGGTGTTTAGTGCTGGGTGCTGGTGTTTAGTGCTGGGAGCTGGTATATGGTTTAATGCTGTGAAGACAAAAAAATAAAAACCTTACTTGTTTCTTCAAATGCCTCAGGGGACAGAAACTTCACGGACTGCAACTCACGTTACTAATGCCTTGATTTAGTAGAATGGGTGGCTTTTCAGATTGTCTTTCTCCTAAAACTGGGTTATTTTCTCTAGATCATTTCTGCAAAAGCTGACAATTCCACGTGTTCTCCTGGCTTGAGTAGATTGATTTGATAAGTAGCTACCTGAATTTAGGAAATAAAAGGCTGTTGATTTTGTTCTGAACAAATACATTGCTAATAAATAAAGATAAAGCATTTAACTAAATAAATATATACCGTAATAAAATGAGACATGGGTGGAAATGTTTTGATTGAAGGTTTGATGCTTTAAGTTATTAAAAAAAAAATAATTTGTAGTTAAAAATATTACAAAAAAATACAATGACAAAAACTCACTTTTATATTGTCTTGGACACTTGTGTGGCTGAAGTTAAGATTATTTTAGTCGATATCAAAACTATTAGATATAAATTAAACATTGCTGCAAAGGGAAGAATGCTATAAATTAAACATTGCTGCAAAGGGAAGAATGCTATAAATTAAACATTGCTGCATAGGGAAGAATGCTATAAATTAAACATTGCTGCAAAGGGAAGAATGCTATAAATTAAACATTGCTGCAAAGGGAAGAATGCTATAAATTAAACATTGCTGCATAGGGAAGAATGCTATAAATTAAACATTGCTGCAAAGGGAAGAATGCTATAAATTAAACATTGCTGCATAGGGAAGAATGCTATAAATTAAACATTGCTGCAAAGGGAAGAATGCTATAAATTAAACATTGCTGCAAAGGGAAGAATGCTATAAATTAAACATTGCTGCAAAGGGAAGAATGCTATAAATTAAACATTGCTGCAAAGGGAAGAATGCTATAAATTAAACATTGCTGCATAGGGAAGAATGCTATAAATTAAACATTGCTGCAAAGGGAAGATTGCTATAAATTAAACATTGCTGCAAAGGGAAGAATGCTATAAATTAAACATTGCTGCAAAGGGAAGAATGCTATAAATTAAACATTGCTGCAAAGGGAAGATTGCTATAAATTAAACATTGCTGCAAAGGGAAGAATGCTATAAATTAAACATTGCTGCAAAGGGAAGAATGCTATAAATTAAACATTGCTGCAAAGGGAAGAATGCTATAAATTAAACATTGCTGCATAGGGAAGAATGCTATAAATTAAACATTGCTGCAAAGGGAAGATTGCTATAAATTAAACATTGCTGCAAAGGGAAGAATGCTATAAATTAAACATTGCTGCATAGGGAAGAATGCTATAAATTAAACATTGCTGCAAAGGGAAGAATGCTATAAATTAAACATTGCTGCAAAGGGAAGAATGCTATAAATTAAACATTGCTGCAAAGGGAAGAATGCTATAAATTAAACATTGCTGCATAGGGAAGAATGCTATAAATTAAACATTGCTGCAAAGGGAAGATTGCTATAAATTAAACATTGCTGCAAAGGGAAGAATGCTATAAATTAAACATTGCTGCAAAGGGAAGAATGCTATAAATTAAACATTGCTGCAAAGGGAAGATTGCTATAAATTAAACATTGCTGCAAAGGGAAGAATGCTATAAATTAAACATTGCTGCATAGGGAAGAATGCTATAAATTAAACATTGCTGCAAAGGGAAGAATGCTATAAATTAAACATTGCTGCAAAGGGAAGAATGCTATAAATTAAACATTGCTGCAAAGACGTTAGTGCCAGGGTTACGTTAGTGCCAGGGTTACGTTAGTGCCAGGGTTACGTTAGTGCCAGGGTTACGTTAGTGCCAGGGTTACGTTAGTGCCAGGGTTACGTTAGTGCCAGGGTTACGTTAGTGCCAGGGTTACGTTAGTGCCAGGGTTACGTTAGTGCCAGGGTTACGTTAGTGCCAGGGTTACGTTAGTGCCAGGGTTACGTTAGTGCCAGGGTTACGTTAGTGCCAGGGTTACGTTAGTGCCAGGGTTACGTTAGTGCCAGGGTTACGTTAGTGCCAGGGTTACGTTAGTGCCAGGGTTACGTTAGTGCCAGGGTTACGTTAGTGCCAGGGTTACGTTAGTGCCAGGGTTACGTTAGTGCCAGGGTTACGTTAGTGCCAGGGTTACGTTAGTGCCAGGGTTACGTTAGTGCCAGGGTTACGTTAGTGCCAGGGTTACGTTAGTGCCAGGGTTACGTTAGTGCCAGGGTTACGTTAGTGCCAGGGTTACGTTAGTGCCAGGGTTACGTTAGTGCCAGGGTTACGTTAGTGCCAGGGTTACGTTAGTGCCAGGGTTACGTTAGTGCCAGGGTTACGTTAGTGCCAGGGTTACGTTAGTGCCAGGGTTACGTTAGTGCCAGGGTTACGTTAGTGCCAGGGTTACGTTAGTGCCAGGGTTACGTTAGTGCCAGGGTTACGTTAGTGCCAGGGTTACGTTAGTGCCAGGGTTACGTTAGTGCCAGGGTTACGTTAGTGCCAGGGTTACGTTAGTGCCAGGGTTACGTTAGTGCCAGGGTTACGTTAGTGCCAGGGTTACGTTAGTGCCAGGGTTACGTTAGTGCCAGGGTTACGTTAGTGCCAGGGTTACGTTAGTGCCAGGGTTACGTTAGTGCCAGGGTTACGTTAGTGCCAGGGTTACGTTAGTGCCAGGGTTACGTTAGTGCCAGGGTTACGTTAGTGACAGGGTTACGTTAGTGCCAGGGTTATGTTTGTTGTAAGGTCAGGAATGTCTTTGGGTAAGTTACAATTTTCATGGATAAAAACCACAAAAGCACCTACTTGGGCTAAAATGACAAAAAGATTTTTTAATGTTCCTATTTAAATTACTAAATTAGGCGTAGCCTGCTATTTTATCTAGCCTAACATTAATATTAGGCATATCATAATCATAAAAT